GAAGTCTCAGAATTAACCCTGGAGTGATGGGAAACATATTCGTTTTTAAAGAGAATTTAAAATTAAAGTAAAGGTTCTTTTACACGCCAATGGCACTCAGGGCATATGAGGCGAGACTTAAATTTTTTATAGAGCTTGATAAGTGGTATTGTCAACATCATGCATGCCTCCTGTACTTTCCAGGACTTTAACTAGTACCCACTTTAGTCTGGGTGTAACCAGAGTGTCTGACCAGCTCACTACACTCAGAGGAAAGGCAAGACGGAAATATAACCAGAATGTAACCGGTACCATCAGTTTTGGAACTCTGTGCTGGCTGCTGAAGATGAGGAGGGAGCACACATGGAAATGCCCTGAGTGCTGTTATGTCAAATCTTGACTCAACTCAACACAACACTCAAGTTTGAGTCAACTTGGAAGCCAAAGTCATGTCTGATTGATCTTTTTACAAGGTAATAAATATAGGTCTAGCCCTATATACCCAATACGCATAATGGCGTGGAAAGGGTCCTTTACTTAATTTTTACTTTAAAAAAAAAATTTGCAAGATAATAAAAATGATGGAAAGGGAAAATAATGTTGACAATAACATTGTAAGTGTATAACTTTATAAGGGCTAAATTATCCACACTGTGTAAAATAAATAGGTTGTCAAGATTTTATGTTTAGCAAGCTCTGGCTAAAGATAAGAAGTACAATCGCAATGTGGAATGCTACACATAAAGAAAAGTCAATCAGCCACACAACGTTAATTAGAAACCATGGAAACTGTATGTCTGAGAAAGACTGCAGTCTTGTCTTGTCTTGTCCACAATTGCGTCACAGCGTAGTGGGAAGTCGCAGTTTTCTATCCTGGGCCAGGTGTTTTGCACGTGTTGTTGTTAGTGCGTGTTGCCTCAGGATCTCTGATATATTGTCTATCCATCGTACTCTCGGTCTGCCTCTTGCTCTAGGGCAGTAGTGCTGTTCGTTGTATGCTCGTAGAGGCAGTTGGTCGGTTTGCATTCGCATCAAGTGGCCAAACCACTCTATTTGTTGCTTCTTTATGTATTGCAGGCATGGTGTGGTTCCTACAATTGATCTAATGTTCTCGTTTCGAACTCTGTCTCTCCTTGTGACATTGGCAGCCTTACGTAAGCATCTCATTTCGCACGTCGTGATCTTTTTCTCCTGTGCTCTTGTTAGGGACCAGGTTTGGCTGCAGTAGTGATCAGAAAAGATCAAATGAGGAATGAAGTCTCATAAGAGAACAAGTTGTCGCAGGAGTCCTCTTTTATTCTTGGTAGTTGTTGGATAACTCATAATCTGAATTGGTAATTTCATCCCTTTTACTTGTAACATTATAATTTTAACCTTTTAAAACTCTAACATTGAGTACTTTAAACAAAAACTCTTGTTAGATTAACTCATAATTTGAACTGGCAATTCAATCCATTCTGCTTGTAACATTATAATTTTAACCTTTTTGAACTCTAACGTTAAGTACTTCAAATTAAAACTCTAGAAATAAAGAGTTAAATAATTATAGTTGGTACTAACAGACAGCTGGTCAGAAACTGTCCGCCTGTGTCGCCGTCCGCACAAAATTCCGTAGCTACAGTGACGTTTCTCCATTTACCCGAGTGTTGACTCTGGTACCCATTTCCTAGAGGCTGGGTAAACCCCGTGAACCATCCGGTTTCAAACCACAGCCGTGGGCGAGTCACAGCTGGATTTGAAAGTGAGTCTCCTATCGACTGCGCTAACGCGGCCCCCATGCTAGTACTGAAAAGTTAAAACACATACATCTTCTCTACTTTTGACTATTTTCACTTATAACCCCCCCCCCCCCCCCCCCAAAAAAAAATAGTTAATAAAGAATGAAAACTACACTGATAATAATAAATTCTTGGAACTGAAACAACAGAGCATTTATTGTGTTTTTTCGCATTATGATCAATAATTATACGTACATAGGTTAAACGTTTGTGTTTTGTGTACAATTTGTACAAATAGTTTAAATGAAAATGGTGCCGAAAAATATAAATTGGACTTACGACCAGTTCTTCTTACTACCTGTTATTTGGAACATAATTTGGTCGTGAGTCGAAGAGACACTGAACAAAACTTCACACAGACGCAAACATGCCTTACCTGTAAACACACCACCACCTATTGCAATGCCTAGTGTGATAACTGCGGCCAGAAACTGATATCCTCCTTGTTCCCCTGCGGTTCGGCCCAAAGCTCCAGGCACTGTTGAGTTCTGGTCGAATGTCTCAGGGAAAATGGCTTCACGGCTGGAAATAATAAATATGTGGTAATCTTCTTCTGCTTCTGCTGCTTCTGCTGCTGCTGCTTCTTCCTTTTCTTCTTCTCCTTCTTCTTCTTCTTCTTTGCGTTCACCAGCTATAAACTTTGGCGGAGAGTTCTGGTTATGTATCCACTTCTCGACTGTAGTCCTGTTCCAGAACCTGAGTGTTGCGTGTGCATCCGTTTTACAGATCTGAATCATTTGTATGCAGACTGATGGTTCCTTGCCTCTCAGGCAGATGCACTCCGACTTTAATGGAAGCTCCTAATTAGTCGACTTTTACAACATGCTTTTTGGGTAGGCAGTGGGTCTATTCTTTTTCCCAATAGCAGGGCCCCGGAACCCATACAGGGATGTTGCAATAATGTTACCTTTTTTCTATTCTTCTTATTCACCTGTTGTAAACTCTAACAGAAAGTTCTCGTTGTTCGTCCACCTCCGGACTTCAGACTTGTTCCAGAATCTGAGTGTTGCGTGCACATCATAGAACTGGCTTATTTGTATGAAAACTGTTGGTTCCTTAACTCTCAGGCAGATGCACTCCGACTTTAAAGGATGTTCCCTATTAGTTACTCCTATGAATGCTTGCTGGCACAATGAACTCAGTAAAGGACGCTTTTCGCGCCTTCAGTCATACTGGGCATATAGGGCCAGTCCTATATTTTATTGACCAATCAGCACTTGGTGGGTTATGTTATTAACCCCCCGCCGGCTGCCTTTACTTCCCTTGACTCTTACCTGGTACCCATTTAAGGCCGGGTCGACCTGGGAAACAAGGTGATTTTTGAAAATACTCCAGCAACATCTGGATTTGAATCTATGACCTTCGGATCCGCAGGCGAGCGTCTTACCTTACTTACCACACAGTGTCTATTACATTAGCACTGAAAAACTGATGCCTCAGAGATGGTGCAAGTACTGCATACTATTGCGTATCGCCAGAAAAAAAATCCCTGTGTTCATCCATTGTCTGAGAATGTGTGGTCTGGCTATGACCCCTCCCCCCCCCTTTTTTTTCCACCCACAGTGGGCTCTTATATCGCTGTCCATGAAAAAAAAAAAAAAAAAACCACCACGGGCCGTCTCCTTCGAATGTTCCAGTGTAGCAATTGAACCCCTGGGAGCTGCAGTGTAGCGGCTAGACGCTTGCCTATATCAGGGTTCAGTTTCTAACAGAGCCGGGCTTTTTTTTGTGTTTAAACAAAAAAATTACCTCGGCACCCAGGTCGACCCACCCTTAAATGGGCACTGGGTAAATTCGTGAGAAGTAAAGGCGACTGGCGTGATGTTGACCATATCATCCACCACCAAGTGCCGATTGGTCTATAAAATATAATTCTAGCTCTATGAGCACAATACCCCTAAAGGCGTGGAAAAAGACCCTTCACTGTTACTATACACCCAATACACCTGAAGGTTTGGAACAGGATCGTTTACTGTGTTAATTTTTTATTTGTATTTTTAATAGTGAAGACTGACACACACTATAAGTTTCAAGTTTGAACAACAGATCAACATCATGGCACATGGGTAGAAACCCATAAGTGCTCCGTTCCTCTTCTAACTCAGGTCTGAGTCCGAAGAAGCTCAGCACAGTGCACAGATTCTGTAGCACCGGTGTGGATACTAAAAAACTTTGGGTAGATTTCTAACTCAAAATTTTGCCTGCGCAGCGGCATCAGGCTACTTTTTTTCGATTTCCAACTGTCAATGTTTTTTTTTAACGTGTGCAACAATGCACACGGGCGTCCGATCTCACTACCCAGAGACAAGGAGGAATTACTAGAAGTCTAAGTCCAAAAAATCCCAGCCCTAACCAGGGATTAAACCCGGAACCTCTAGCACTTGAGACGGACACCATGCAGCCCCCCTTGAAACACTAACTAACCTCTAAACTAAAGTTAGTTGCGTATCCTTTACAGGACGTTGCAGAACCAACCCTAACAGCCCCTGGCTGTTGAGTGGTTTCTCTAGGCAATTTACATCCAGTAGTTTGCCATTGCTTACTGGACGGTCGGCTTTCTTGATACCACTGTCGAAACCAATGCAAGGCACATTGCCCGCAGCTGGGATCGAACCTGGCATCCCGGCATTACGAAGCGAAGCGTTCGCATCGACTTAGCCACAGAGCCGACTACCTCTAAACTACAGAGGCATATAAAGAATATAGGAATTCTTCAACTTCTTCGCGTTCACCAGCTGTAAACGCCAGAGGAAAGTTCTGGTTGTTCGTCCACTTCTGGATTCCAGTCCATAAACGGAGTGTTGCAATCCCATCCATTTTACAGATCTGACTCTTTTGCATGCAGCTTGTTGGTTCCTTGACTCTCAGGTTGATGCACTTTGAAGGAAGCTCCCAATTAGTCGACTCTTACGACATACTTTTGGGTAGGCAGTGGGTCTATTCTTGTTTTCCCCACAACGGAGCCCCGGAACCAACACGGGGAAAGAGAGGAATTCAATGGTATGGCAAAAATTGCTAATACAGAACTCAAAAAAGAGCTAAACAAACATGAGAGGAAAAGAGGGGACACACATTGTGAAAACTTTATAATGTGTGACTAGAATGCCCTTGTGGAAGCCACAAGCTAAAAGCAATAAAGGAAAATCAAAACCATAGAAATAAGAGTAATAGAGACAAAATTAAATAATAAAAATGTAAAGGTCTCTTTTTGACGTCTCTAGGCTTATGGGAATATAGGGTTAGTCCTATACTTTAATAGACCAATCGGCACTTGGTGGGTGATGTGGTCAGCATCACTCCGGCCGCCTTTACTTACTATGGCTGCACCTGGTACCCACTTAAGGCTTGGTCGAATTGGGAGTCAAGGTCATTTTGTTTTGTCAAGAAAAAAAAGAAAAAAGTCCGGCTCCATCAGGATGCTTCTTCTTCTTCTTCTTCTTGTTCACCGGCTGTGAATTCCGGCGGTAAGTCGCGGTTGTTCGTCCAAAATGGACTTTTGGCTTTTACCTTGACGTGAGTTTTGCGCGTACATCCGTTTTACTGGCTTATTTGTTTGCAGTTCTGGTACCCCGCCTCTCCGGCAGATGTACTCCGACTTCATAGGAAACACCAGGATGCAAACCCACGACCTTTCGACCTGCAGACAGGTGTCTAGCCGCCAACGCCATAGCGACTCCCAAAGATAAATAATAGGTAGATAAAATATACATTTACTAACTCACACCGGTATCCAATGTGTGGTCACGCCTGGCACTAAAGCCAGCAGTGTTGTAGGCAGCTAGCTCTCCGAGGAGGGTGAAAAGCGAAAATTTAGTAGCCTGCTGCTGTTCCATGATCGCACAAGCCAACGCCCATCTCCCTGTCGTGCAGATTGGAAACTGTATCCGTGATAATACAGGCTAACAGGCAAATAGCCACTTGGAGAGGAATGTGCCCTGCCTGGGATGAAATACTGCCCAAGACGCACTATGCTTTTGACAAATAGATCAGATAGTCCATCGCAACTGACCACCAAAGGTGGAAAAAGCTGATCAGTCAACAGAAACTAGTGACCCAAAGACATGTAGTGTTACAGGATGATGATGAGGACAACTTACACCAGCTTCTGATAGGGTGTAACCCTATGTAGTCTGGACAACAGCTATAAATAACGATAAGACAAACATTGTCACACTAACTCGTGTATGCTCCAGTTTTCAGACATAGCTGCCAGCACGGCTGAACCAATAGCTGCCAGTAGACCAGGCATGCCATGGAGATTGTGGACTCCACAGGTGTCGTGGATCTTCAGATATTTGGCCATTCGTGGCTGGAACACAAGAAGATACAAATGTAAGAGTGTTTCTTTCATCCATTGTGTGTTTGCCTCATTGCACTTGATCACCCACATTGGTTGCTTGTTACTTGTTGTCTGTATTGACAAACCAGAACATTGGTCCAACCCATCTGTGCATCGCCTTGTGCAGCCGTCTTAGTGTCTCCAAGTTCAACGTACTTAGTAGGAGTTGATAAACATTTCTTCTTTCTTTGCTAAGCAACAGGTTTCTGCATGTTAGTTGTTTACTACCCATTTCCAACTGGCGTTTCATTGTCTCTGACTCCATTGTCTCAAAATCTCTGGAACACAGTGCATTCAGTATGTCTACACTGTTCATACTTCTTACTCCAACAAGGTAAGAAGGTAAAAGTCCAACAGTTTATTCACGACAATTCACGCCCAGGTGATCTGACTATATATACAGATGGTTCAGTGTTGAGAGGAAACAGAAGTACCTGGGAGTTCGTAGCGAAAGCCAATATAAAATCTGTAGTGCAAGACAGCCTAGCATGCGACACCACAACATCTAGCATGAGAATAGAGGTAGAGGCGGTAACTGCAGCTCTCCGGTGGCTAGAGAACAAGATGCATACACATGTCGTAATTGTAACAGACTCTGAAAGCATGCTGAGAAAGGCGAAGCCAGCTTCGAGCATGAAATGTCACGGGTAGTGAGCATACTTTAGATCTTTTCTCCAGGATATGCCAGTGTGGTGGGTAATGAACAGGCAGACATATTGGCTGAATCTGCTCTATTGGGTGGTGAATTGATACATGACAAAGCAGATGTGGTCAAGGCTCTTTGGGAACAAGCAACGGAATCAGTAGAGATGGAAGATTATTATGGCCTGGAGAGAATGAGGCACCTGGGTGTAACCAGAGGGTCTGATCGGCTCACTTCACTCAGAGGAAAGGCAAGAAGGACATATAACCAGATTGTGACTGGTACCACCAGTATTGGAACTCTGCGCTGGCTGCCAAAGATGAGTACAGAGCATGCATGGGAATGCCCCGAGTTCTGTAATGTCAATTCTTGACTCAACTCAACTCCAACAATCACTGAAGACACAGCCAATCTGTTGGGTTCTCTTATTTCCTTTCACCACTGCATATCCCTGTGTGTACTTCCAAGAGAGTTTCCTTAGGTGAGACTTCTGGCTGCTGTCAACCGATTCTAGTCACAGTTTGCCAGTTTGAATCTTTTTAAGTATGCTCAACGAGTCTGTCACTATCAATGCGATAATTGCTTTCTGCTCTGTCAACCATACAAGTGCCTTTGTCACTGCTGCTGTCTTTTTCACATGCTAGAAGTAGTTGAACGGAATGACTGAATTTCATCCGTTACTATCTTCCCATTCATCTGCACTATGTTTGTGAATCCTTGAGCTATTTGGTTACCAATGTGTAATTGCTTTTAAAATGAACTGCTGTCAAAAAAATTATTTAAAAACAGGGCTTACTTATTGTGATACAGCACTGACACTTTTTTAAATAGTGTTATTGTAATAACAGACGTTTTGAGTAGCGTAACCTTTTTAAAATAGACACTTTGTGGTGAATCTCTCTTTCTTCCTCTGCCTTACCTAAATTTAATACCTCAACTTTCTTTTTAGGACGTAATGTTTTGTTATTTGAAGTCCCACTCTGGCTTTTGCCAGGGGTCGCAATATAGGTAGGCCATAAATATGGCCAATTGTCTGAACGCGGTTTCTGAGACCTCTCCACGGTGATCCTCATCCACATGGTGGCACTTTGTGTCATCGGGTGTTTATCGCTTGTGTGATGTCCTGGTGGGGTAGAAAGTCAGTCAGTCAGTCCTCTGCCTTTCTAACCGCCTTGTCTATTTAGAAGGGTCTAATTCATCTAAGGGACTTAAGGTCCCATACAGCTTTACCTAATATTTGTGAGTTACCGTCCTTGCCTTCTACATTTGTTCTTGGTAGCAATCATTTTCTGTATTCGCATGTTTCATAGAACTTCAACTGGCCAGTCGAGCAATGGAAATTTTTTGGAGAGACCTCATTTAAGTGATTTTATGTTTTCTTGTTTGTAATTGTAACACTGACTATTCATTCATGCGTTGATGAAGGCTTTCTTGCTGCAACATTCCCTTGTCGCTTGTGATTAGGATAAATTCTACTTTTTATTTGGTCTGATATCTTTTAAGGTTTAAAAAAAAAAAACACACACACAGAATCATTACTTACTGTCAGAAATTTGTAGCCCAAGACACTGATAGTTCCTGCGACAGCCCCAAAAATAAGAGCACCAAATGGTTGCATGGGCATGTTGGCAGTGGCCCCAACTACTACACCACCAGCCACTGAAGAGTTCTGCACATGAACCTGATGAGGATAAAATTAGACTAAACACTTCAATTTCCCCACAAAGCTGAAGATTATATTTTGTACATGGTGTTTACCTACTTTCTCCTCTCCATAAAACAAATATTTTTACTTTGTTCGTATCAAGTGTTTTGAATCTACATATCTCATCCGTGTATGTCCAGTTGATGGTGTTGACTGTCGGGGTGATTGCATGTTGACTGTGATGATTGTAGTGATGACTGAATGTTGATTGTGATGATTGTAGTGGTGACTGAATGTTGACTGTGATGATTGCAGTGGTGACTGAATGTTGACTGTGATGATTGTAGTGGTGACTGCATGTCAACTGTGATGATTGTAGTGGTGACTGCATGTTGACTGTGAAGATGACTGCAGTGATGGCAGCAAGCTATGTTGATAAATGTGGTTGTGATAGAATAACAATGGTGATGACTGCAGTGGTGATAGCATACTAACAGTGATCTTCTTCTTCTTCTTCTTCTTCTTCTTCTTCTTCTTCTTCTTCTTCTTCTTCTTCTTCTTCTTCTTCTTCTTCTTCTTCTTCTTCTTCTTCTTCTTCTTCTTCTTCTTCTTCTTCTTCTTCTTCTTCTTCTTCTTCTTCTTCTTCTTCTTCTTCTTCTTCTTCTTCCTTTTCTTCTTCTTTTCCTTCTTCTTCTGTTTCTTCTTCTTCGATCCTTCTGTCAGAAAAAGTAAACCAGGAGTCCGGTAGCCTTTATGATGAAACCTATCGTGCTAGTCCATTATCCCCTAGTGTACCATACATGAACAAATAACTCACCATATCAAACCTGCCTTTCTTGTCAACAGCAGCAGACACAGCAAAGGTCATGGCTGTGCAAGCACACAAAGACAGAAACGTATTGAGGTAAGCTCTATCCCTTTGTTGCTGGTCTTCCGCAAAGCCTCCATTGAACGATGGCCAGTAGATCCATAAAAACACAGTCCCTGGATAGAAAAATCCAATGATGAATATGTTCAAAAAGGTGCTAAAATATTTGTGTTTATATCATGGTCTCGGAACCTGATGGACCTATAACTTTTATGGATAAAAAAACAAAAACAGGTTAGGTGGAAAAGGGATTGGGGGGGGGGGGGGGGGAGGAGATGTGAGCCTCCCAGTGATTTTTAAGGGGAGGAAGCTGAATGCCCCCCATAGTAAAATAAGTGAAGTATATGTCCCTTTTCCACTCATTTATGTGTACTGGGCATATAGGGCTAGACTTATATTTTAGAGCAGTCGGGACTCGGTGGGTGATGTGGTCAGCATCATGCTGGTCGCCTTTACTTCCCAGATCTTTACCTGGTACCCACTCCAGGGTGGGTCGACCTAGGGACCAAGATTCTGTTCGACAAATAGCCGGCTTCACCAGGACCCGAACCCATGACCTTCCAATCTGCAGACTCGCATCTAGCTGCTGCACCACGGTGGATCCCGAATTCACCCCCCCCCCCCAATACTCTAGAAAATATGTAAATATGCAAGGGGTCTGTAGTCCCCCTAATTGTGTTTAGATGTTCTCTTTTTAAGTATTTGCTCATACATTTAATATTTCAAAAATATTGTGTTATTCATTTGTCATTCAGGACATAGTAATAATAATAACAATAACTATTATAATTATTATTATACATCTAAACTAGCTCCTTGCGGATGGTATAATACAATCTGCTGAATCCCCTACCTAGCTTAATATGCTCTCTTGCTTTTGTATTTGGTTAAAACACACTCGGGAAATCTGGCTTTTCCAGTGGTCATGACTACTGTTATTTCGCCAGTTTAAAAGTGATTTACTGGCAAATTTTAATCACGGAAACTTCTTCAGTGGCTCATAAGAAACCTTTTTCTGGTACAAAATGATTTTATTTGTTTGCTGGTGTTGTACTGTAGTGAGCTGTGGTATCGCAGTAGCTAGATGTTTGCCTGTCAGGCTTAATGTCTGCAGTTTGAATCTGCATCGTCAGAATATTTTCAAAACTGACCTTTACTCCCAGGTTGACCCAGCCTAAAATTGACACCAGGCAATGGCCTGGGAAGTAAAGCATATTGTTGACCTCGTCAGCTTATTAAGAACTGGTTGGTTGATACAAATATGATTCTAGCATCGTTTTGTCTGACCAACGACATAAAAAAGGTTCTTTATTTTAATTATATTTGATTTTACAAGTTCTCATGCGGTTCTCTTTGAGAAAGCCAGTCTGTGAATTATGAAGGAGCACGGAATTAAAAACTCACCGATCATGGCAAAAATATCTGACTGGTAAACACTGCATCCTTTTTTGGAAGTTTCTATATCTTCTGTGTACAGCACTCTGGCGACGGCCAGTCCGAAGTACGCACCAAACATGTGGATGAACATGGATTCACCAATATCTCGAACCTGAGGACCATACAAGTATCAGATAAATTAGAGGAAAGTACATAAGTAAAATCTGAAGCATTGCTTTAGAGGTTCCCGGTAGTTAGCGTCCCTTGGATGTTTTATTCAAGTAATGCCGGTGTGTTGAGAAATTAGCAGGCAGAAAGACTGGCCGGCCTTGCACCACTTGGTGGTGAACTGATGTATGACAAACTAGATATTGTGAGGGCACTTTGGGAGCGAGTGAACAGTGCAGAGGCATAAATAAATCATTACAGTCTGGGGAGAATGGCGCTGCGAGGAGTTACCAGGGGATCTGACCGATGCTCAACGCTCAAGGGAAAGGTGAGACGGATGTAAAATCAGACAGCTAGTTACTGGTACCATCGGAACTGGAACTCTTCGCATGTTGCTGAAGATGGGGACGAAGCGCTTATGGCTGTGATGTCTCTTCTTAATTCAACATTCAACATAAGTAAAATACGATTGGAAGAATAAAGCAATTTTATGACACAAAACATGCGTTAACTTTCTTTAAAATTATTTTAATTATTAATATAAGTTAAAGTATATTACAAGAAAAGTGCCCTATCTATCCACTGACTAACGAACTTATGGTGAAGAAGTTTAAAGTACAGTTTTGGTCTTACATGAAGAAGGTCAACGCCGACATATTCGTTGAGTTGGGCCAGAAGAATTTCAATGATTCCCATGACCAGCAGTTGAATGGGGCTAGTTTTGCCAAGAACCGCTCCGAATGAAATCAGAACAGTTGCTGTAGCGAAATCATAGGTTACCATTCTGAAAAGTTAGAAAACAAATTATACATAAAAAAAAAATTGACCTGATAAACTGTGGAAGAAAATATTGAGGACTGGAAATATTAACAGTAAAAGAAGTGGTGGAGAGAGAGAGAGAGAGAGAGAGAGAGAGAGAGAGAGAGAGAGAGAGAGAGAGAGAGAGAGAGAGAGAGAGAGAGAGAGAGAGAGAGAGAGAGAGAGAGAGAGAAAGAGAGAGAGACAGAGAGAGAGAGAGAGAGAGAGAGAGAGAGAGAGAGAGAGAGAGAGAGAGAGAGAGAGAGAGAGAGAGAGAGAGAGAGAGAGAGAGAGAGAGAGAGACACTGAATCTTATTAAATGATGACATTGTGAACATCATCAGTAGAATATATCCAGAACACCTGGCACTGAAATATACTGAGAGACATAAACGCCACATGAACATGAACGTCATGACACCCCACTCCATCTAACAAGGATGATTATGAGGGTGATGATATATCCCCCCCCCCCTCCTCATGATCACATTCGGGTAGATCAACATCTCATGGTTGAGAATCCAGAGGGGAGCACATCAGAGAAACTCCATTCAACCGTGTAACACAGTTATAGCAGGGACCCTTCGATTACAAAGATGGATACCCGGGGTATAATTCAACACTGATATAGTGTCCACTGACGCCGCTGCTGAGTCTTCTTCTTCTTCTGCAGCTGGAACTCGTCCCCATCACACCCAGACCAAGTCTTTTCTGGACCTATTCTTACTTACTTAGTTAGCCGCCCCTCATCTACCCTGGGGTGTAGAGGTTTGCCAGAGAGATCGTCAGACTTCCCTATCAGCAGTTTTCTTTTTAGCTTTGCTCTATTCGAGTCCTCAGTTAATCAGGAACTGGAAGATGTTGTTTTCCAAGCTGACCATGGGTCGTCCTGGTGGTCTGGTTCCCTGGTTCATGGTCGCCCTTTTCTGCCGTGCTATACGATTCTCTCCAATTTTGCATACGTGTCCAAAACATCGTAACTGTGACTGATCTACTCGAGTTTGAAAAGCCTGGGTACCATTAAACAGGCCAATCACCTGTTTGCCTTAAACCGCGATTTCAAGTTACCACAGTAGACTTACAGTAGACCCGTTTAATGACATAAACCCCAATGCAACTGACTCAAACGCAACAACCCACAGTCGCCGAAAGGGTTTATAGCCAATATATCCACTAAGCAAAACATATTCAATCTTGACTATCCATGGCACTTACTGCTCAACGCCGATATGAAACTTCTCCCCAGCAAGGATGTCCGCATGGATAAATCCCTTCACGATAGCAGCCCACTGGATACAGACAGCACTGACCAAGAGGTTGACTCCAACAGATGAGAATCCGTAATCCTTCAAGAACGTCATCAGAAATCCAAAACCCACAAAAATCATTCCATTCACGTCCATGAAATCTACGGATTTAATAAGATAACAAACAAAATTTACATTTAGCTATAAAAAAATTAGTCTCCGTGCTTTGTTCCGAATTTAGTGGTGTAACACTGATGTTACCTTTCCTTCAGAGTAAATAAGGCAAGCGGAGGAATGGATCAGAATGCATGGGCAACACATGGTCTCTACAGTACTGCCCAGACTTTGTGCGATGGAGAGGAGGAACTTAACACTCGCCATCGCCATGGGCTGTGACTCCCATGCCATCGCACAAAATAGTACAATACCATTGTTTAGTAAAAGGAAAATGGTGCCAACGAATATAAAAGTAGCTACATCTTACATGTCGAATCCCTATCGGGGTGAACTTTCTAAATTGACTTTGCCTGTCGGGTCGACCTGGCCTAAAATGGATACCAGGAAATGACATAGGAAGCCTCAGTGGCTGGGGTGATTTTGACATCACAGATTTGGTTTACACAAAACCGTATTTGGCACCATATGTCTATGCACCAGCGACAGGATCCTTTAGTTTTTCTAGCCCGACTCACCTCGTCTCTTATCTTTTCCTCTCCACGATTGCATTCTGAAAGAGAAACATCCAGTGGCCAAAAAAGAACCACTTTTTAGGTGAGAATCCAACGTTTGCAAATCTTTGAAAACAACTACAGACGTGTAACACAGTGGACTCGGGCACTCGTCGGTTGTGAAGTAACCCACCAGTCCAGCGTGGCTGTGACTTCTAGCATCCTTTACTTTGCTTACACCTTATTCCCGTGTGGGTTCCGGGGCCCCATTGTGAGGAAAACAAGAATAAACCCACTGAATAAATTATAAAGTGGGACAGACAGAACTACAGAAGCATGTCGTATGAGTCAACTAATCTGGAGCTTCCTTCGAGGTCGGAGTACATCTGCCTGAGAGGCAAGCAGATTACAGTCTGCATGAAAAGGAATCAGACATGTAAAACGGATGTGCACGCAACAACCAGTTTCTGGAACAGGACTAGAGTCCAGAAGTGGACGAATAACCAGAACTTTGAATCAGAGTTTACAGCCGCTGAACGCGACGTTGGCCTTGTTGTGGGACTTGGGGATGGCATGCACATCCAAATTACAGATCTGGCTTATTTGTGTGCAGACTGTTGGCTTCTTAGCTCTCAAGCAGCTGCACTTCGTCTTTGGAGAAAACGACCCTATTTAACTACGCTCGCCAGGCTCCATGGTAGGAACTTTTTTCTGGGATAACCGCAAAAAATGTATAGATAAGTTACGGGTCATAATGTGTCCTTGTTTGGGTGCACCACAACCAGTAGTTCAGTACGTCTGTCTCCCTTATCAGACGCTAATTCTTAATAGTTAATAAATTAACGAAAACATGAAATATAGACAGTAAATAATCCTGTGGTATACAAAGTCGTGTTCGTTAACAGGGTTCATTTACAACATAAATATTTTCAACAATCTGCAAATAGCGAGGTAGCTATTTATTACACAAGGCCTTGAGAAAAGGTTGTTCCCAATTCCCGGCACGAGAAATATAGCTTTCGATTTATATGTTGTCTAGTGTGTCTTTCTATCTTTCTACTTCTTTCGGTAATTGCCAGTCAATACATTGTCTCTTTAATAATAATATATCTATAATATTTTTACGGCTTCAAGGGCTCCCCCTCTGTTTATTTATGTGAATGATGTGTAATACAATGGAACCTACCAATCAAATATCTTTTTTAAATCTGTGTGTATTCTAGACAAAGCATTACGGTCTGTTGTGTTTGTAAATTGTTGCTGTGTTTGTTATTCAACCTATGCTTCGTTAATATAAATTTATGTAACTTATGGTGCCAGTTCAGTGGTTTAAGATAAATTATGTCAATTTCCATAGTTGTGGATTTCAAGCTGTAAGAAACAGATGAAAAAGCTTCACTGGGAAAGTCACGGGTGGTGAGCCGGCTTAGTGGGTAATGAACAGACAGACAGATTGGCTGGATCTGCACCACTGGGTGGTGAACTGATACATGACAAGGCAGATGTGGTCAAGGCCCTTTGGGAACAAGCAGCGGAATCAGTAGAGAAGCAAGATTATTACGGCCTGGAGATAATGAGGCACCTGGGTGTAACCAGAGGGTCTGGCCGGCTCACTACACTCAGAGGAAAGGCAAGTCGGACATATAAAACAGATTGTGACCGCTTCCATCAGTATTGGAACTCTGCGCTGGCTGCTGAAGATGAGGATGAAGCTCGCAAGGGAATGCCCGAGTGTTGTGATGTCAGTTCATGACTAAAGTCAACTCAACTCAAACTGTACGATAGACATGCCAGTTTGGACACCTGTTTTTCTTTTGAAGTGCCTACTTACCTATGTTCTCAGTTCGCTTGTTTCCATAGCGAGGCGCATACGCCATTTGGAGGTGACAGGTTCTATAGCTTTCGATTGTTATGTTGTCTAGTGTGTCCTTCTAACTTTCTACTTCTTTCTATGAGTGCCGCTCAATACATTGTCTCTTTATTAATTATATATCTATAATCTTTATAAAAGGGGCGTCCTTACCGGCGTAAGACTCATCATTGGCGCCCAGGTCGTCACTGGCTAGCCGATAGACGACTTCGTCGATCTCAGGACAGTATTTAAATCTACCCACTTTGATCGCATCAACACTGCAGGAGTCCTGCGGCGTGCAGTGCTGAGCTATTTTATATGGCGCACATATCCTAGTCGCAATTATAACCTACAGCTCCCTCTTCGGGGATCCTGGTTGAACGTGACGATTTTTTCAGCAAAGCACCTACCTACTACCTACCTACCTACCTACCTACCTACCTACCGCCTAGGACAAGTTACACTTGCCTAGTGTAGTCGTTAAGACTGTCTTAATCAGGGCCGCGCCGCGCCATGATACAGAGACGCCGTCGCATCAGTCGGCATCATAAGGGGTGGAGGGTGGCACAAGCAGTGTAATCAAAATACACTTCGAATCTTTGTTCTGACAGCGCGAAGCTACTAGGGGCGGCATTTTAAAGACTTGCATCATACTGAGAAAATCTACCAATTTTTAACTTCTTTGGAAGTGAACCGAGTGTATGGAATCTACCTTATCGGTCGACTATCTAGGCTGACTTTAAAAATAAAAAATCAATCTTAGGATAGTATGAAAAACGTTTTGGTACAGCCCTAGGGGGGGGGGGGGGGGGGGGGGGGGGACAAACTGATCAATTGATCGACATCTTCTTCTTTTTCTTCGAGTTCAGCGCCTGTAAACTCCGGCGGAAAGTTCAGGTTGTTCACCCACTTCTGGACTTTTGACTTGTCCCAGAACTTGAGTTTTGCATGCAGACCCGTCTTACAGATCTGGCTTATTTGGTTAGAGATCTGTTGGTTCCCCGCTTCTCAGGCAGATGAACCATTTTGACTTCCAAGGAAACCCCTAACAAATCGACCTTTACGACATGCTTGTTAAAGAGGCAGTGATTCCCGCCCCAGCCCACCTCTACTAGGGGGCCCCAGAACCTACACGGGAAGATCAACGGATATAAATAAGGATACTTAAATCCTTTTATTAAAGAAAGAAAGGAAGTATATATATAAGAAAGTCGTAAATAGAGAAAGAAAGGAAAGACGAAAGTCTTAAGGAAATAAACAAAGGAGAAAAAAAAGGAATGATGACAGATGAGAAGGAAAGAATGTAAAGACGGTAAATAAAAAAAAAAGACACATGGAAAGGAAAGAAGAAATAAATACATGCATATATCAGAAGGAGAAAATCTACATTCTTTGGTCATGTGATGCGAAGGAGAAAACTGGAGAACATCGTGACTGAAGGAAAGTTTGAGGGGAGAAGAGGCAGAGAGAGACCAAGAGAAAAGATACTGGACAGTTTGACATCATTGCATGGATGATCATCTGTTTTAGAGTTGACTGAAAGTATACGAGACAGAAGGTTATGGATAGACATGACTACCAACGCCATACTGCATGGACTTTAAGAAGAAGAGGAAGAAGATACATATATACAGACAGATCAATAGAAACTTACTTGGATACTTGGCGTAGTTCTCATGTCCTTTTCTCTCACTGCCGTGGCCATAAATTTCAGGATAGCTCTCATTGTCCGAGTAACGTCCGAAAAATGCGATAACTATTATAAAGGTGATTTGAAGAACCAGAACAAACGTAGAGAACTTGATTCTCCGAAGGGATGCTAGAGATGGCGCCATGGTATGTGAAACTACGATAGGTACCGTGACAGCGCCTGGCTTGTGTAATGGTGAAAGGTTCTCGTGCTGGCTGCTGAAGAAGGTGATGGAGCGTTTATGGGAACGTCCCGAATGCTGTGATGTAGATTTTCAACGCAGCTGTCGATTTGCTCCGATTTATTTCGCGGCAATACGCTTCGATTTATCTCTGCGGGTTTGTAAACTATGCGTCCAAGACGACCGACTGTCGTGTAGACACAATTCTAGGCTATACTTCACTCCTGCCCTCTGTGTCGAAGTAAGTCAAGAAACAGGCGCACTGGTTGAGGTATTCACCCAATAGTTTTTTGTTTGTAAATGCTGGCGATGTATCTACTTTCGTCTCCGTAGACTGCGTTAGTGGAGCCTGAAAAAAAAATTTAAACCAACCTAATTTCAACAAAAAGAACACATGTGTAATGCTTGTGTTTGCGTGTACATATATATGAACTAACATGTGTATTTCAAACTACATAGATTTGTAGATACATTAGTGGTGGAGAGTGATAGAAAAGGCTTTGGTTTCAATAATGGGAAGACAGAAGTATTGGCAACACATAGAAAAGAATAGCACCGAAAAGTTTAACAAAAGTCGAGGGCGGTTTTTTAAGGACAAGTACACACATTAAATGGTACTTTAATTTTAGACGACCACATCTCGTCGGCTTCGAGATTGGTAGGAAAATTTCAAGGCCGTCCTATAGTTAAAAAAAAGGGCGGGATGGGGGGGGGGGGGTTTAGGGTTAAGGCTAGTGTTAAATGAACAGCGACTACTACTAAGCCTAAACCTAACTCCCCTATCCCATGGGATGGTCTGTGGAATTCCATACCAATTCTCAAAGCCGGCGTGATGTGGTGAAAAAACAGAAAAGAACCGATTTTTTTTTCTCAAATCTCGAAGCTAACGAGATGTGATCGCATAAAATTAAAATATCCATTGAAGTATCGAGGTACATGGATGGAATCATACGGAAGATGTACCACAAAGATAAAGAATAGAGCAGGACAGGCTAAAACTGCATCTTAAAAACATGAAGACCATCTTATGGAACAAATCTATGTCACTGGATGTTAGGAAAAGAATTCTTGCACGCTTTATAGAGCCATTTTTATCAAATGATTGTGAATTCTAAACAATTCCTTAAGGCGTCGGAAATGGGATTTCACAGAAGAATTCTTAGAATTGCTTGGAAGGCCGAAAAGAGCCAAAAAGAGGCGAGGGCTACGAGACAACATCACCACTATCAGAAAGAGACATTCTTCAAATGTGGTCACGTTATGAGGAGAAGGCAATTAGAACATGTTGTGACCACTAGAAAGATCTGTAAAAAAAAAAAAGGGAGACAGATCAAAACATCGAAAGAAGATTCTTGACAGACTTCTGCCATGGCATGGAGGGCTATCAGCACACGAACACATATAATGCTGTTGAAGATCGCAGATTGTGGAGAGGCATGATCGCCTACGTTAGTCAGCAAGGCACTTGGTGAAGATTTCTTAACCCACATTTGTCGTTAAGAAGAGTATAAACGCCGAGGAATCGATCGCGCCAGGAATGCGATAAGTGGTTTAAATCATAAGGAAAAGACAAACGAATTTCATAGTGCATAAGGAAAGCACATTCAGAATCTAGAAAGTTTAATATGGGTAAAAAAAAAAGGTTAAAGTAGAGAGGATAAACTTCAATGCACCGAGTTTTATCCCATATGGATCGGTCTCTCTGCGCAGAACTCCTAGCTGCCTGCCGAAAGCATCACACAAAGCTCGAACTCCGGAGATCCAATGACGACCCCCGAAGATCTCTGAAAATTGCTCTCGTGAACTGAACCTGACAGCCGTGAAACGAACCCACGACCTTCAGATCGCACTTATTTCCTCTTGAAGTTTCAGTAACGTTGTAGATTTTTTACAGGGCAGAGCTGTCAACACTGCGCCCAACTCCCGAGCCTGGAGGACCGGGAGGCCATCTTTAGTCTGGCCCCTCACCAATGACCTGTCCAGCTTGGGTGACCCTACCAGGAACATACGTTCCCGCCGACATAGCTCATTAGATCATTGACTCTATACCTTTAGTCCAGTTATTCCCAAAATGTGCGCCGTGGCGCGCCGGGGAGCCGCGACCTCTTCACAGGGGCGCCGCGAGATATTTTAAAACCTTCATAATTAATTTAACCACGACACGAATAGTCATACTTTTACTTAGGTTAGGACGCCGTGGTAACATTATTTTTAAAAAGGCGCCGTGACCAAGAACAGTTTGGGAAACACTGTTCTAGCCAATTCTCCAGTCTTTTGTGCTTTCATATCTACTGCGTCTTGGATGTCTTCTATCGCCAAGGTCCGCCTCTGCCTCGTTTTCCGGAAACTATACACTCCATCACCACTCTTTCCAGAGCTTGAACCCTGGACCTCTAGCACTAGAGGCGGACACCATGCTTTGAGACCGCGCAGCCCTACCAACTTCGTAAAAATACACAAGAGTGGAAATCACGGATGCCTGTCACAGAACAAGCTTCTCGGGACAAAAATAACTTTACCGTCGCGTGATTTTAAAGTGGCTGGCGTTTAATGACAGCCTCATTTATAGTTTCTAAAAGACAAAAAGACGAATAAAGCAGAGGTAGTATTACAAAAAAGACACACGAAGCAGAGTTGGAATGAACAAAAAGATCCACTAAAAAACAGAAATTGTATCTAAATAATGCGGAGACAAACAATACATTGCACAATTTATTGCCAGGCATATTTCGCTGTTATCTTGTCAGGTGTCTTGCTAAAGTTACACAAGAATTAAAGCTCTAAATAAATGCAACTGAAATGGGAGATTGTATTAACAAAAACGACATTTATTAGAGAATGGTGTGACATAAAAGACATAAATAAGAGATAGTATTACAACACAGAAATAAATTCTTACCTTAAGATCCCAGGAAAAAATGAAAAGACTCACACATATAAAACATGGCATATCTTCGTGTGCCGTGTAGTAAATGAACCAGATACTTCCAGATGGGTCCTCTATTTATATTGTTTGACTGGTTCATCGAAGCGTCCCTTTGCTTGACAGTTCTGACCAGATTCAAAGGCCGACCTTGAACTTTAACCAGGTAGGGCCTTGTCGTCAGCGCCGTCTAGTTGAACACTCGTGACCCTCTGGTTCAAAACACCACAAATTCATACCGACTTGTTTCTTTTGTTTATTTTTCACTAAAAGCTTCTGTGACTAAAAATCGGTGACAGTTCACTTTATTTAGCACATACAATTTGGCAAGCCAGTAAAAATGGCAGGAATCTGGTCAAATGTTGAGATTCAGTGTAGATTGTATCCGTGTTTTCTGGAAATTAAACACAATGTTCTGATTTTAAACTCATATTGCATCAGTAAAAGTATACTCAGACTTCTTTTACTTCCCATTTTACTCTTATCTTCATCTTATTTTTCTGTGTTCTTCAAATTCGTCCACTTCTTTCTCCCCCCGCCCCCTTTTTTTGTCATTGTCGTCCTCCTCCCCATTCTTCTACTTTCTCACTTCATCTTCTAGAATGAAAGAGTGCCCCTGATGCTGTCTATAGAAGGAGAGAAAGTATAACATAAATTGAAAGCAAAAAAGTTCAAGACATTTAGAACCAAAGTAAAAAAAGAAATTTCTTAGGCAACTGCACAGAATCCCATGTACACACAGAAGGGACACACAGAATGAGGCAGTCCAACAATCCTACAGACACGGTAAATTGGTTAAAGAAATTATTTGTAGACGGTCAAAATTTATTAAACATAATTTGAGAAATAATTCCATCTCATTGTTGATTAGAAAATAATTCTTGCATGCTATGTAGAGCCAGTTAGGCTGCGAATCCTGGATAATCAATTAACAAGCCAAACAAAATCTCGAGACCTTGGAAGTGTCGTTTTTCAGAAGTAAAGTAGAGACCATTTTCACGTCTTCAGGCGTATTGGGCATATAGGGCTAGGCTTATATTTTATAGACCCATCGGCACTTAGTGGGTGATGTGGTCAGCATCACGCCGGCTGCCTTTACTTCCCAGGACTATACCTGGTACCCACACGCTCAAGGCTGGGTCGACCTGGAAGCCAAGGTCATTTTTGAAAAACAAGTCCGGCTCCGTCAAGACCCGAACCCTCTACCTTTCGATCCACAGGCGAGCATCTAGCGGCTACATTACGGTTTTACAGAAGATTTTTCAGAATTTCTTGGACAGCCAAAAAGATTAACCCGGATATTTCTAAAGTGACGAGGACTTGAATCGTAGATTGTGGAGAGGTATGGTCACCCACGCCTGTCGGCAAGCTACATTGATGATGATGATTGTGATAAATAATTGTGAAAACTTTATAACAACTGGCAACGTTGATAGGAAACGAGACAGTGGAAAACAGGTTAAAATGCCACAAACGTGCCGAAAACTGCACATAATTTCCATGCATGAAATTACTTTTATCCTCCTGAGGGGGCCAGTGAGCGTTGTTGGCAATTAAATAGCACTAGCATGGCTGCAGAGAGAGAGAGAGAGAGAGAGAGAGAGAGAGAGACAGAGGGAGAGAGAGAGCGAGAGCGAGAGAGCAAGAGAGAGAGAGAGCGCAAGAGCGAGAGAGCGAGAGAGAGTGAGAGAGAGAGAGCAAGAGAGAGAGAGAGAGAGAGCGAGAGAGAGAGAGAAGAGAGCGCTAGGAGAGCGAGAGAGAGCCGAGAGAGAGAGAGAGAGAGAGAAAGAGAGAGAGCGAGAGAGAGAGAAGGAGCGAGAGAGAGAGAGCGAGAGAGAGAGAGCGAGAGAGAGAGAGCAAGAGAGAGAGAGAGTGAGAGCGAGAGAGTATGTGAGAGAGAGAGAGCGAGAGAGACAGCGAGAGAGAGAGAGAGAGAGAGAGAACGATAAAAGGATTTGTGGGAAAAAAAGAGGGAGTGGGTTAGCATGAGAATAGAGATGTAGGCAGTAACTGCAGCTCTCCGGTGGCTAGAGAACAAGGT